GAATTTATTAATTTATTTGAGAGAGAGAGTGAAAGAGAGCATGAGGAGGGTGGAGGGAGAGGGAGAGATAAGACTCCCTGCTGAGCAGGGAGACCAATACAGGGCTCCGTCCCAGGTCCCTGAGATGATGACCTGAGCTGAAGGCAGATGCTGAACCGACTGAGCCACCCAGGCACCTTCTGGGTATTAGGTTTAAAAATGGAAGATTTTTGGCCCTAACACCAGAGATTCTCATTTGGCTATCTAGGTCAGAACCCAGCAATCTGCATTTTCAATCAGCATTTTCTACCCCACTCTCTTCCCATTCTGAGGTTCTTAGCCCACTTTTTGGGAAGCACTAATAATTCTTCCAGTCTGGGAAAGTTGAATACACCAGTCTTCACTGTTGAGTTAAAATCATTATAGGCAGTAAATGCCTTTTTACAATCAAATCAACAGTATCAACTCTATGACCCTGCCCCTTTGAAATGTGTGATTCTGAAAGGAGAGCTCATCTGGTTTCCATGGAAACTTTTTTCACCAGTTGAGTCTTTAAGGATGCTTTAGGTATCCTTATAAGTGGTTAAGACAACCTACCCACCTGCAAAAGAAATGTATATCAGGCTTAATGAAACAAATTGCCAAGTATTACATGTATAACAGTTTTTTTTGTACTAATAATACTACAGGAGAATAAAAATTGAGGTCTGTTCCACAAAACTGCAGATAATGGAAAGGCCCATATGCAAAAATATTACTGTAATGATGACAAAGAATTACATTATTTAAAAATAAAAGCACTTACAGTTTTTCCAGTTTCTTTAATGACCTGAGGTTCTCTATACATGAAATACAGTTGTTTTGTAGATATAAATGGGTCAAATTTGTAGCATAATTGAAGTTAGTCATTTGACTAATACGGTTATCATACAAATATAACACACTAAGATTTTTGCAAGGAGAGAGGTCTTCCTAAAAGGAAAACAAAAACAGGTCATACTTAATATCTCCTGAAAATTTAGAAGTTTGTTTTTGAGAAGGTTTTTCACTTAATCATTCTGCAATTTCCCCTAAATTTAATATAAAAGAACAGTATTTCTCTGTTCTTAGCACAATCAAAATGAGTCTCGAATGATTGTAAAATTAGTTCTAGGTTTTAGTATCCTGTAACTATATCAATAAGCAGTTTTCCTTGGAAGCAGTTAGGTTCCTCTGGAAGTTGAAGCATTTAACAAGTTATCGCTTCAACATTATAAATCAGGGTTTTTTTTTAAGATTTTATTTATTTGAGAGAGAGAGTGAGAGCAGGAGAGAGAGAGCATGAGCGCAGTGGGGGAGTAGGGGTGGAGGGAGAGGCAGAAGCTCCCTGCTGAGCGGGGAGCCCAAAGCGGGGCTCAGTCCCAGGACCCTGAGATCATGACCTGAGATCATGACCTGACCCTGAGGCAGACACTTAACCAACTGAGCCACCCAGGTGCCCCTATAAATCAGGTCTTAATCTTTCTGTAGGATTAGAAGTAAACTTGTTTATGATATTGAAAATGGGAAGTCATATAGCTATTCAAGAGCAATAGATTAATAAACTATGATAATGCTATTGAAGGGAATACTGTTTAACCATTAGATATCTGTTAGTTTCTTTAGTAATATTTTGTAGATCTCAAAATGAAAACAGTACATTCAATATGACCCACTATTGTAAAATTATATGAATACATGCCTAGAAAAAAGACTGGAAGGATATCACCTACATGTTAATAGCGGTTTTCTCTGCATGATGGGATTATGCCAGTTTCTTTTTATATGTATTTCATAGAAATGCACACCAGTTACTTGTTTTTTTTTCTGATTGAGAAATTTTTATTGATAAGTAACTTAGGAACATTCATTCTTCAAGTCTGTTGTCAACTACAATCTACAAAAGCAAATTATACTTAAATTATAATGTTCAACAAAGTGGATTAAACAAACAAACAAGGCAGCCACCAATGAACTAAGCACAATGTGTTTTCTCACACCAGTTACTTTTGAGATAAGAAAATAATTAAAGGTATTTTTTAAAGTTTGCCATTTCTTATGTGGTGGTAGAGTCAGCTAGAGTAAGTAGGCAAGAGGTAAAGTAAAGTTATGCTCAAAAGCACCTCAGGTTGGGGTACCTGGCTGGCTCAGTTGGTGGAGCCTGAAACTTTTTGGTCTTGGGGTTTAAGTTTGAGCCCCACATTGGGCATAGAGATTATTTTAAAAAAATAAAATCTTAAAAAAAACTCAGCTTTTTTTAACAAGATTTTAAAAAGCATAACCACATCTTGGGAATTTTAAGTTTACAAGGTGTTCTTAGTGTGAATTTTTTTTTTTTTTTAGAGCATGGGTGGGGGGAAGGACAAAGGGAAGGGAAGAGAGAATCCCAAGCAGGCTCCATGCCCAGTGCAGAGCCTGATGTGGGGCCTGATCTCATGACCCTGAGATGATGACCTGAGCCGAAATCCAAGAGTGAGACACTTAACCAACTGAGCCACCTAGCCACCCAGGTCCCCAACTGAATTATACTTGGCCCTTGAACAACATGGATTTGAACTGCATGGGTCCACTTATACATCGATTCTTTTTCTGTAAATACTGTATAATACTGTAATGTATTTTATCTTCCTTATGATTTTCTTAATAATATTTTCTTTTCTCTAGCTTACTTTATTGTAAGAATACAGTATATAATACATATAACATACAGAATATGTGTTAATTGACTTTATGTTATCAAGAGTTCTGGTCAACAATAGACCATTGGTAGTTAAGTTTTTTAGGAATCAAAAGTTATACAAGGATATTCAATTGTGTTGGGTGGTAAGATGTTGGGGAGTGGGGGGGTGTTGGTGTCCTTAACTCCTGTATTGTTCTAGGGTTAACTGTACTTTAACTAGTTTGCGTTCCTCCTAAAAAAGATCATCTAAACCAAAGGAGCACTGATTGTGAGGGGACAAAAGAACATTAAATGGAGGCTCTCTGCAGAGGGCAAATCTGTAATGATATGATGAGGTAGAGAGTTTTCTGGGCAATTGGATTCATGGGGAGAAGAATCACTAAGAAACTGGAAAGAAGGGATGCTGGGTGGCTCAGTTGGTTAAGCATCTGCCTTTGGCTCAGGTAACGATCCCAGAGTCCTGGAATCAAGTCCCACATATAAGGCTCCTTGCTCAGCAGGGAGCCTGCTTCTCCCTCTGCCTACCGCTCCCCCTGCTTGTGTGCTCTCTCTTTCTCTCTCACAAATAAAATAAAATATAATTAAAAGAAAAAGAAACTGGAAAGAAATACAGAATAGGAACTTGGTAGGGTCTTTGCAAAAAAAAATAATTGACAGTTGTGCCTGGGGCTTTGGTATTTTTTTCAATCATTTTGATAAACATTTATTAAGCACTTAATATGGGTTAGGTGCTGTGTTGGATGGGGGGATTTAGAGTGATGTGAACAAAGCAGACATCATCCCTGCCCTCATGTACCTTATATTTCTGAGGAAATTTCTCCCATTAGCATTTTATTGTAGACAATGGACACTAATCCAAATGGCCTAAAGGGGTTATTGCTCCTTTTAAAGTTTCCCGAATTAAAGCCAAGAATTAGCTTAACACAGAGAAAATATAGTGTCAGAGTATATCCAAACAAACATAATCTTGTCTGATATAAATTATAGTATAACTTCCATTTATATAACCAATTAAATTATGAGTGAAAAAGATTTCACTGTTGAAGTTTTGAAATAAGGTATTTGCATAGTTAAATCTTGCTATCTTGTTAAAAAAAACCTCATATTCCAAAGACCTGGAATTATACAAAAGTATTATCTTTGAAATTATTTTCCAACATACACTTTCAAATCTAGTTTGCTACACTATAGAATATTTCAGGGGGACATATATATTTAGCACATATATTTAACAATCATGATGGTATATTTTATAGAGACTTAGTTTTAATAATTGTAACATCAAAAGCAGGAAATTAAAATGAAAACACAATATACTAATCAAAGTACAGTTAAATAAGTATGATCAAAATATAGTTAATAAGAATGTATTTTTGACACCTATTTTCAAACTTTACATTGTTAATTATGTAAAAATAGGAAATAATTTCAGAATTCTTACAATTTCATCTATATTTTTGTCTGAAAAATTTATATGAGTTATTTTCTTCAGGTATTGTGAAGTGGTTTCTTCTTTTCGGGGTTTAAGATTGCTATTTTTGGCAATTAGATCCAAGGTTAGTCGAACCATGATTTCTCTCTAAATCAAACTCTCATCAGTAGCTCGGTTCTAATACCATGTCAAAAGTAGGTTTAGGCATTGTTTTATGCCCAACTTTCTAAAAATAAAAGAAAAAAAGGAATATTATGTACATGGTAATTTAGGAAAAATTATTTTGACTTTTTAATTTTCTTATATAAAACTATGAGATAAGCTACTTCAGAGACATTTTTAAAGGCACTTAGGTATTTTCTAAGTTTATAGACTTAATTCTTTTTATAAAAAGATATAAAACATCAAAATTAATTAAATATACAATGCTCATTCACTTCTACTTTTAAATCTTTTCCTCTCCCTAGTACTGAGTTGTTACTGTTGGCATCTTTTAAAGGATTTTTTTTTCCTCTCAAGAAATATCATCTGATGTTCTCATGTGAAGACACTAAGGCCCAGAGATTTGTCCCAAACTACTTAAGGTAGTGGTAGTTGGGAATGAGACCAGGTCTTCTGGCTCCTTTTTTCATAGTACCCATGGTGATCATATTTTCTAAACCCTCAAAACAGAACACATTGTGGAAAAACCTTGAGTATGTACATAGGACAAGGGTGCAAAATACTTGAAAGTGGAGTAGGCTTTGAAATTTTATGTTACTACAACTGTAATCCACAAAGAGGCAACATAAGGCAGTGTTTTTGAGTCCAGACTGCCTGGGTTCAGATTTTGGCTCCACTGCCCCCTGATTAGGCAATCTTGGGCAGGGTACATCAGTTTCTTTTTTTTCCCCATGTACCCCCATTCACAGTACAGACCAGGCAAAGGGCCTGGGCTGAGGTGTATTTGGTAGATTTACTCTGCTTTCTCTTTCTGTACGGTCCATGTAAGAACACAGCCTGTGGTAAGCACCAGGACGCTACGTTACCTCTGTTTCTTACACAGTTAGGTTAATAATGGTACCTACTTCCAAGGGATATTGTGAAGATTACATAAGATAATCATGTATAGAATATTCTGCATGGTGCCTGGTACACAGGTCAATAAATGTTTGCTATCACCAATCATTATTTTATTGTTTTGTTCACAGATAAGGTGAATACTATTTACTTCACTGTTTCACCTGGAATACATTAGGGCTATTAAATAAGGGGAACATACTATTAATTAAATTAAATAATTAATAAAATATTGCTTTATGTAAGAGATCCATATGTGGTCCATAAGTTTAAAGTAACCCATTTTTTTCAATCATCCAGAAAGTATAGCTATTTAAGTGATAAACATCCCAGTTTTGTAAAACGTACTGTATTTTTAAAGTTTAGTTTAAAATTGAGCATTATTTTCATGTATCTGGAATTTCACCAACCAAACACCTCAATTTGCATCATATTCTGGACATGGAATCAGTGCTTCTGAAGAAAAATGAATTTAGTAGAAGATGGATTCCAATTTGTATTCTCATACAATGACATATAACTACCCAGGCTATATTATATAAAATGCCCACAATAAAATATTCAAAGATATGGCCTGTATCCTTATATACTTCAGAATGCAAAATTAATCTATAGAATAAAATTATGAAATCTTTGTAGATTTTTGAAATTTGCATGAATTCATTTTATAACAAAAATTTAAGATTATTGTTTATAGATCAAATTTCAAACATGACAATAATATTCTGAACAAAGTTTCTAATAAAGTAAAAAAACCTTTTCTTAATATTGCCTTAAAAAAATTTCATGATGGGGGCGCCTGGATGATTCAGTCATTAAGCCTCTGCCTTCGGCTCAGGTCATGATCCCAGGGTCCTGGAATTGAGCCCCGCATTGGGATCCCTGCTCCACGGGAAGGCTGCTGCTTCTCCCTCTCCCACTCTCCCTGCTTGTATTCCCTCTCTGGCTGTCTCTCTCTCTGTCAAATAAATAAATAATTTAAAAAAATCTTAAAAAAAATTTCATGATGAAAGTGTAAAGAATAACACCACACTCATGGATCTACAAACCCCCTTAAAATATAAAACATTATAAATACATTTGGAACCCTTCTATACCTTTCTCCCTATTCTTTTATTTTTAGAGTTTAGAGTTAGATGTCTCTTATTTTTAGAGTTTAGAGTTAGATTCATGTCTTTATACTTTTACTACAGGTGCATGTATACCTAAACAATATATAGTACTTTTTAAAATATATTTTTACAGTCATAAATGGTACTATTCTGGTTCCAGCTTTTTTACTTAATGTTTTGTTTGTGAGAATCATCAGAGTTGATATGTATAGCTCTAGAATATTTGTATTGGGTGTAACATTCTATTGTAAGGAATTTATTTCTTGTGATGATAGATCTTTGGGTGTTGTTTTTTTCTTCTTTTGCAATGTTGCTTTCATGATTCTTATATACATGTCATTTTTAGCACATGTGCAAGAGTTTCTTTAGGGTTCAAAACTGGGAGTGCTATTTCTGGGTTGCACATTTTCAGCTTTACTATTAATTGCCAAATTGTTCTCCAGAGGAGTTTTACTGGTGCAGTTAAGAGAGTTCTTACTGGGGCGCCTGGGTGGCTCAGTCGTTAAGCACCTGCCTTCAGCTCAGGTCATGATCCCAGGGTCCTGGGATCAAGCCCCGCAACGGGTTCCCTGTTCGGGCTCCCTGTTCGATGGGGAGCCTGCTTCTCCCTCTCCCACTCCCCCTGCTTGTGTTCCCTCTCTCGCTGTCTCTTTCTGTCAAATAAATAAAATCTTAAAAAAAAAAAAGTTCTTACTGCTTTACAATGCAGTCTATACCAGTGTCAGCACTTTATAACGGCTGTCCTTTTGCCAATCTGATGGGTGTGAAGTGATATCTCATTATTTCTGTTTTTCCTCAGATCTTTTTATATGTAAAAATAAAGCAAAAAAGAGATTTGAAAACAGCCAGATCAGTAGTCTTATCTCCTCCTTGTGTTTTAATTTGCATTCTGTAATTACTAGAGATTGAGGGTCTTTTCCTGTTTATTGCCATGTGGAGTTCCTTTTCTGTTAATTGTGGTTTCTTATATTTTGCCCATTTTTGCTTATGGGTTGTGTTTTTATAAGTAATTTTTAGATACTGTATTTTTAACAGATACCAATATTTCATTGATTATATATTTAGCAAATATCTATTCCCCGATTAGTTTGTCTTTTCTCTTTTTCGTTTGTGTTTAATGGCATCTTCTAAAAAATGGAAGCTATATATATATATTTTTAAAGATTTTATTTATTTATTTTAACAGAGAGAGAGAGAGCACAAGTAGAGAGGCAGGCAGAGGGAGAGGGAGAAGCAGGCTCCCCGCTGAGCAGGGAGCCCGATGGGGGACTCTATCCCAGGACCCTGGGATCATGACCTGAGCTGAAGGCAGCCGCTTAATTGACTGAGCCACCCAGGCGCCCCTGGAAGCTATATATTTTTAATGTGGTCAAATGTATCATTTTTTTGCTTATGTTTTATGTTTTTTGTGGCTTATTTAGTAACTCCTTCCCTATCCACATTTTAAGAGAAAGACCTTTTTCTTTTTCTTGTAGACATGTTTAGGTTTTGCTTTGCACACTTTGTCTGCATTGCTGTGATCTGAAGCAGCAATCAGTGGTCAGAGGACAGATCCTTGATATTTGGTGGCTAGTGTGCATTTTGCCCATTTTGGCTTCTGCAAGCTGTGTGTATAAGGTGCTCCAGAAACCCCTGCGTAGCTTTCTGCTCTGGGGTCGGGTGTAGGGGATGAATAGTTGCTCTAGAGCTGAAACTGACCAAAATTTATTGAGGTTTATTGTCTAAGTCTTTCCCTGGAAGTTGTTAGCCTTCAGTAGACTCCAGGTTCTAAAGTATTTACACCAGACAGATTCTGTCAGTGCAGTTGTTGTGTAGGTGGGGAAACAGATGCTTCCTACTCTGGCATATTCCCAGAATCCTCTCCTCAACTCTTTCATATACATTTTATTATTTTTTATTTTATTATATTATGTTAATCACCATACAGTACATCATTAGTTTTTGATGTAGTGTTCCGTGATTCATTGTTTGCGTATAACACCCAGTGCTCCATTCAGTATGTGCCGTCCTTAACACCCATCACCAGGCTAACCCATCCCCCCACACCCCTCCCCTCTAGAACCCTCAGTTTGTTTCTCAGAGTCCATCGTCTCTCATGGTTCGTCTCCCCCTCCGACTTACTCCTCTTCATTCTTCCCTTCCTACTATCGTCTTTTTTTTTTTTTTAAACATATAATGTATTATTTGTTTCAGAGGTACAGGTTTGTGATACAACAGTCTTACACATACATTTTAAAAGTAACTTGTCATGTTCCATGAAAAATCCTGTCAGGATTTTGTTCGGAATTGCACTGAATTTATAAACAATTTGTGAAGCACCAACGCATCTCTTAATATTGAGTCTTCTTTTCCATCACTATGGTAGGCCTCTCTATTTTAGGAGTGCTTCTTTAATGATTTTCAATAGTTTTATAGTTTTCTTGTAATTAAGGCCATGCAAAATTTTTTTGGTCATTTTCAGGAATCATATATCTTTATTGATACTGCAAGTGACATTTTTTAGGAATTACATTCACTGGAGCTAGTGTGTAGAAATGCAATATATTAAAAAATATTTGGGGGTGCCTGGGTGGCTCAGTCGTTAAGCGTCTGCCTTTGGCTCAGGTCATGATCCCAGGGTCCTGGGATAGAGTCCCACATCGGGCTCCCTGCTCCGCGGGAAGCCTGCTTCTCCCTCTCCCACCCCCCCTGCTTGTGTTCCCTCTCTCGCTGTGTCTCTCTCTGTCAAATAAATAAAATCTTTAAAAAATAAAAAAATAAATATTTGAGATATTTAAAATATTTTTAAAATATGATTTTACTATTTTAAAATTTTAGAACTTTTTCTGGAAATTTCAGATATCATTTTTACACTGATAACTGGTGAAAATGCACATCTTAAAGTGGTTATATACCCCAGGATTTCTTTCTTACAGTGGAGGCAGGTAACTGCTGTACAGGTGGCCATGCACGAGCAAACCTGTGCTATGAAGGGGGTGATGCCCTGTGGGGGTGATTTTTACCCGTGGGAGACAGGAGCCACAAATTATTTATTCTCCCTTCTTTCCCCCATAGACTTTTAGGAGACAGAGCCATTTCAAAAGGTCTCAATGAAAACAGCTCTGGTCTTCTGGGTTATATACTGAGCTATATTTGTTATCCTTCCATCTCTCTCTCATTCCTTTTTTCCTTCTCTCCTGCTTCCCTGAGATTACAACCCCCCAAAAAGTGTTATTATATGAGTCTTTGCTTCAGGCTCTGTTTTCTAAACTGGGTTAAAACAGATAAATTTTGGATCATCTGAATCCTCATGAATGACCATGCTATGGTCCATTCAAAAATGGATTTTGTCTCTAGGTTCCAGTACACAAACTGTTGTTTGTATAGAAATAAATTTAATTCTCTAAGATTATTAGAAAAGCAAAGGGGCAGATGTAGTATATAAATGAAATATTTATCAAGGAGAGGCCAATGGACCTCATCAACAAGCTACAGGAAAACTTTCCAGGGGCTTTTTGAATATGGAAAGGGAGATAATTGAATCAACCTATAACCCACAGTAAGAGACTTCACTGAAAAGAACCTGCATTGTAGCAGTCAAATCCACAAGAGAGGATTTAGTTTCATCAAAACACCACCATTCATCTTGTTAATGTAATATTAATTTAAACTTTATTGGTATTGTAGTTTGTTTTAGAGATACTGTAAACTTCGGGTATTTAAATTGAACCTAGTTTGGGTTTGGACACATTTTAGAACATTATAATAAAAATAATTATGTCAACACTTATGGGGTGTCCTTGCTTTTCTTTAAAAAGAGGTTCATTATTTTCTAAAGTTTGAGAAACAGCTTTTTCATAATTTTTCACTA